ACCGGGATGGGAGTGAATTGCTCAGCCAGGTACACAGTGTGCAGAGGACACCGTAGCAGGAAAAGGGCATTGAGCGGAGGCGTTGCCATGTGCGGGGAACGCTTCTTCCAGGAATCAGAGTTGGGAGCCAGGACTCCTGGGTTCTGTTCCTGGCTCTGCCACTGACTTGCTGTGTGAGCTCAGCCCAGTCACTTAATTTCTCTGTACCTCCATTTCCTCAGCTGTAAAATGGGGATGACAATACTTACTGAGGGGTGCCTCTCACAAGACTGCTGGGAGGTGTAATTAATTCATCCTTGCTAAGCACTTTGAGGCCCTCAAGGGAACGGTAAGTAACACAAGCACCAGGCATTGGTAATTAGCTACAGAACTGCGTTATTTGGTCACTTATTTTCAGAGTCATGAGCTAGATCTCACGAGTGTCCCACGGTTTGTACTGCTGGCTGATCACCAGTGTGATGAACTGAAAACCTACCTCCCGGGGTGGTGGGGGAACCTGCTGGACCAGCCAGTGCCCTTCTCTGTTGGGAGAGCCTCTGATGTACCTTCGGTCTACAGAAAGGGGCTACCTGCGTGGGGTCACGTGACTCCCCATTCCCCTTTGCACTGAGCACATCTTTCTACCGGACGCCTCTGGGGCCCTGTGTTAGTGAAGGAAGAACAGGGCAGAGATGCCCTCAGTACGGGGGCCGGTCGGCACAGCAAACAGCACCCAGGCTTGGCTCGCGGCAGACTGAGGATGCAGGAGCGGAACTCCCCAGAAGAAGAGAGAACTGGAGAGAGGGGGACGGGGAGGGGAGGGGAGAGCAGATGGGGGGGTAGGTGCGAGAGAAGGGAAGTGGGGGAGGAGACAGTGGGGAGGCGAAAGAGGAGAAAACCACAGAACCAGGGGCTGCGGAAGGAAGACGGTAGGAGCAGCATGACAAGTGGGATGCGGGGGACGTTCTCCAAGGGGTGAGTGGGGCAGCTGCTGCAGGGAGAACGCACTCCTGTTCTGGCTGAGTTTCCAAATGCATCCTGTACAACCCCGCCCCCCCACCCCCAGGCGCTTCACTCCAGCAGCCGGCTCACCCCCGCCCTTGGGATCCAGCAGCGAGGAAGCCGGCGCTGCTGCTGGTTTCGCAGGGTCGACGCTCGCGTGGCACGAAGGGGCGAAGGGAGGCGGCTCAGGCTTTCAGCCTCCATTCTGTGCCGCTCCCGCCTCACACGGAGGCCCCGGGAACCGAGGGTTTTGTCTCTGAGATGAAACGTTTTAAATCAACACATGAATATTTCATGCCGATTTGGGGCAGGTAAGGCGGTTTAAAGGGATGAGGAGACGCACAGACCTGCCCTTCACTAACCACGCTGCGGCTTGTCTTCGCAGGGCTTTCCAGGGAGCTAAGCAATGCAGGCCCGAGCCGCTGGGCTCAGATATAGGGACTGGTTCAAAGGTGTCTGGGGGCAGCATACAACGGACAAAGCTGAGTGAAGACGGAATGAAGGCGGTGCACCGGTGGTGGGGGTCAGAGCAGGCCAGTGCGGCCCCAGCAGAGCCGTACGAACGGAAGGCAGAGCACGGGAATGTCAGTGCGGCCCCAAGACGCGGTGCTAATTCCAGGGCACTAGTGACTGCAGAGGAGGGTCAGTGGACAGTGGAGAGCCCCAATCCAAGAGCCGGATGAATCAGAGGAGCTCTGCTCTAGCAGCGTATGGACTCGACAGGACCAGCCCAAAGGCAATATCGACTTGGCCCAGGCGCAGTCCGAGATCCTAGCCTTTGTGCATGTGAATTTAGTGCTGGTGAAAGGGGCTAGGCTGGCAGCCCCAGTCTGCAGCATGGGAGTTTCCACTGGACGCATCACGGAGCTGGTCTGCTCACGTGTCTCATCCGGTCAAAGCAGGGATGGGACTAGAACTACCGGGATCTGGAATGGGCCAGGATCTAGGACAGACTGCATGGGGATCAGGACAAGGGCAGTATAATGATGCCAGAAAAACAGCGATAGCACGGACTGGAGGTGTCCGTGCTCCATGGAGTATAGTCGAGGCCAGCGCTATGCTGCCCAGTAAACACCTGCTTTCCCTGTCTGCTCCCTTCAGTGCCCTGAATGTGTCTGACGGGAGCTGCATACAAATATGGGGGAGGGGAACTGCCCAGCTTAGGGAAGGCTATGGCTGTGGGGGTGAGTGGGGAAGACCTATCTCCCGTTCCCCAAGGGGCTGTTCTGAGTAAGATCCTGAAGATGGAGGCATTTGGGGTATAATTCCCCTTCGAAGGGAAGCAGTGGGAGCCAACTGAGTTTGGAGATGTTTTCTCCAGCCCCGCGCCCCGCAATGCTCCAGGACCCAGGGAGCGCAGAGATGACAGAAGAGCAGATGCAAAGGATTTCAGTTTTTCAAGAGCCCCCTGGGAGCTGCTGGTGGTGCTCCCCTGTCCTCCCCACCCTCCGTGCACCTGTGAGCTCCAGGGGGTGGGGCAGGGCATCCCAGCTGTACAAGTGAAGAGTGTGTGTGACCCTGGGAGTGCAAAGAAGCCAGCTTGGCAGAGGAGCCGGGAGGGCAGCCTGTGAGCGACCCCCTGGCAGAGACAGAGTAAGCCCGTTACACATCAGATTGGAAGCAATTGCTAGACAGGCCACTTGGAACACAGCTGCCCTCCTTCCCTCTCCATCCCAACATGCCGTCCCGTCCCTGGTCAGCCCCACTCCCTCCAGAACGGCTCGGGGAAATGGAGGCACTCCAGTGGATCCCTGCAAGCCACAGGGGCCTGGAGTCTACTGGGCTCGCCCCACTTCTCTAGAGCAGCCATTGCTCACCCTAGCTGGCGTTCTGGGAGCTGCTGCTGGAAACCCTAATGCTGCCACCCCCGGCTACCTCCAACATTGCCTCGCCTAGGACCAGCCTCTGCCCAGGTGAGGGGGGCAACAGCCCAGGGCTTAGTCTATAACAGGGGTGGCCAAACTGTGGCTCGCGAGCCACATGCGGCTCTTTTACCATTCAAGTGGGGCTTGCAGAGCCCCCCACGCCCTCCCATTCTTCACCTACCAGACTGGGGGCGGGGAGATCAGGATCTCTGCCTTGCAGCAGGGTGGTGTGGTAGGGGCTTCTGCCCAGCCGTGGAGGGGGGTCTTGGGGCTTCAGCCCTGCGGGGAACACCTGCCAGGGTTCAGGGCTTCAGCAGGAGCAGGGCTGAAGCCCCAACCCCCGGCTCCCAGCAAGTGTGCCTCGCTCTCGAACTTCTGAAGATTGTCGTAGGTGGCTCAGAGGGCCAGTAAGTTTGGCCACCCCGGTCTAGAATATTCCATCAAAGCCCCCTGATGTGGATGGATGGACCCTCCTTTCCTGGCTATCTTCATGTTCATTCATTTCTGGTCTGCACATCCTCCACCCTGGACTGACCCCCCTGTCCCAAGGCTGGTGAGCACTGCTCCCTCAGTGGACCACCTCTGTCTGAAGAAACCCCTCTGGTGGGATGGGCCAGAAATGCAGCTATGTCCTTGTCCTTTAGGGACCCTGACTTATTTGCGTGTAGTTTTGGTCTGTGTTGCTTCATTGCTGATGCTCAGGGGAAGTGGTGCATTGAGCCTGAAAGCCTGCATCATTGAATTTGAATCTGACTCCCCTGTACCAAGCCAGCAAGCTAAGCCACGGAGGATACCTAGGTACCAGAATGTGGCGCATTCCCACCACACACAGCACAGAGACGAGAATCTACAAGCCCCAAACCCACTGGAGAGGTGGAAGCTCCAAACAGCCTGATCCTCTCCTTATGCCCAATGTCCCTCCACCCAGATCCCAGCAAGGGCAGAGCTAGATTAACCCCAGGCAGGCCTCCTCCTTCCCAGGTCTTGTTTTGCAGGAGTTTAATAAACACTCCCTGGAAGGCAACCTGGGAATGAATTTCACTGCATTACCCGAAATTCTCTCACCCCTCCCAGAAGCTGCCTCCATTGTCCAATTCTCCAGGCCAGCCAGGACCCAGGCACTGGCCCAGAAGAAGGCATCACAGCAACAGCTGGAAGTCACCCTCACCAACAAGAAGCCCCTTCGATCAAGAGAAGGCAGCTACAGGCCAAACATCTCCCACCGCTTTGGGAGATGGACGCGGGGTCCTGGGAGCTGTGATCTCTGAGAGATGCCAGAAGCAGGAGGTAAGGTAACAGGGATGGGCAAGGGGCATGCCGTTCCCATGTCCCCAGGCTCACTTTGCTTGACAGCAGCACCCTGGTGGGTCTTGCCCTCCCTTGGCCAGAGCAGGCGAGAGGCCACTCTCCTACCAGCCAGGCCGCTGGTACCTCCATGCAGCCTCCTTCCCGGCCCGTCTGGGAACTTGTGGCAAAGGTCTCCGTGGACCCCCGAGGAGCCGCTCAGACCCCGGCACAGCCGGAGAGGGAGAGAGAAAGCCGGCTCCCAAACCAGGGCGCTCAGCCTGCACCTCAGTGCCAACCCGGGCAGCACGCTCGCCTCTCTCATCGCCTGCTACTGCAGGAGAATTTACCGCAGGGGAGCTGAGGCGGGAGATGCAGCGCCCAGCTGCCGGCAGCGGGGGATGCACCGACCCCCAGCTCGCGGAGCGAGACCCCCTCCTCCTCCTTGGAGGGGCCCGTTGTGTGCAGGGGGGGAGGAGGACCCAGCTTGCCTGCAAAGAGCACCGACTCCCTCCCCAGCCCCTCCGCGCGCCGTCCGTGCCTGGCATGGAGTCACCTTCAGCTCCCACCCAGCGCAGGGGCAGAGCAGCGCGAACTCCGCAGACAGGGCGGGCTGGGAGGCGGCGAGCCTGGCATCGGTAGCCGTGGGGACAGAGACACCCCCCCCGATGCAAAGAGAGTTGAGGGGCTCAGTGGAGGCAGGAGGCGGATTGTTGAATAGGGACCCGGGGAGCTGTCCTGCTGCTTTCCAGGGGAGCCCCCAACGGGCAGCGTCCTTCGGGCTCTGCAAATGCCAGATGCTCCCGGGCTCTGCACCCAACCCAGCCTTGCTGTCCCCCCCCCCACCTTGTCTCCATCCCTGGCACTCACCGCTCGCCAGCCCGGCTCTCAGGGAAAGGCAGCCGTGAGGATGGAGGCTGGATCCCAGTCTTCTGCAGAGCCCAGGAGGAGTGAGGCGCGGCTGGGGAGCTCAGCCGCCCCGGCCCCTGGGTGTGTGTGAGCCAGCGTGTGTCTCGCGGATGAAAGCAGGCTCAGTGCAGCAGCTGCTGCTATCAGTAGAAAATGCATCACAAAGACCACCATAGACCACTGCTCCCCCCCTCCCCTCCTAAGACAGCCGTGACGTCTAAAGTGCAGGGAAGCCAGGGCCGTTTAACCCTCTGCTCGCCGGACTGCCCGTGCCTCGGGTCCCGCTGCGCCCTGGAGAACCCGGCGCGGGTAGATCTCGGGTGCGGGAGCAGCAGGGCATTAGGAGCCGGGAGACCCATTTCTAAATGCTCTCCTGCCCCTTCTAGGGGTCTGCCAAGCTAGCTCACAGCTCTGTCTGCCCTACTCTTGTAGGGGGCCAGCTCTTTCTGTACAAGCCCCGGCTGTCCATTTGTCTGGCAACGGATCTAGTGGCCGGAGCACTAGCCTGGGAGCCAGGCGTTCTCCTCTCAGCTCTGCCCCTGATCTGCTGCTGCCTCAGGCCAGGGGAGGCATGTCATCTCGGTGCCTCTGTTTCCCCTCTCGCCATGGGCCGATCCATTGTAAGGGTGCCAGGGTAGAGGCTGCCTCTCACTCTGTGCCTAGTGCAATGGGGTTCTCATCCACTGGAGCCCTGGGCTCTACTCTGACATAGACCCCGATAATCCCACTCACCACTAGAATATGAGCAAGCCCATGTGGCGAGCAGGCTATTTACCACTTGTCCCCAGGGCTCCCTCTTAGCCAGATGTGCAGGTGCTGAGGGTGCTGCCACCCCCCCCTCCCCCCGGCTTGAAGTGGTTCCCATCATATCCAGGGTTTACAGTTTGTTTCAGTGGCTTTCAGCACCCCCACCTCAGCACCAATTGTTCCAGCCCCCATGTTCTTAGCCAGCCTGCCCTGGTTGCTGGATCTGTTCTGCGCCTGGCAGGTGACGGGTTATGCAGCTCGTGTGGCGCTGGGCTAAGAGTGGCTGGCTGTGAAATGATCACAAGGGAAGGTTGGCGCGGCACACTGGGGGAAGGCGAGAAAGGCCCCTCGCCATCGGGCAGGGTGGGCCAAGGAAAAAGGCTGAGAAGCTGGACTATGGTGGAAGGGAGCCTCCCTTCAGAAGATGGGAGGACAGGAGACAATGGCAACGTTCAAAGGATGAGATCTGCCGGGCGCTTGCACTGACTCCCAAGGGCGGTGGTTGAGGCACCGTCCCGGCAGGGATGCTGGAGTGGATTAGATAAGATATTATCCGGAATGACGGGGGTGGCCTTGCTTCATGGATGAAGCCGGGGGTCCCTTTCGGGCCGATTGCACCCCTGCAACTATGGACCTGCCCACTCTGGCAGAGGCCTCAGAGTTGGGTTTGAAGGAACCTCCCTGCCTTTCCCCTTGCCACCAGGCCCTAACATCTCCCCCACGCTTCCTACATCTCTGTGAAAACTTCCTCTCCTAGCAATCTGACAAGTCCCGACTCCCAGCCCAGAACCCGGCTCGTATGCCGCAAACCCACCTCCTTCCTCCTCCACTAGCATTCTCCTCTCCACCCGCCTGCCTCTTGCTACTCGCCCTCCAAAGCATTGCCCTCGCACCATTTCCAGCCCTCTCTGTCTACAGCCGCTAGTCCCAATCCATCTCCCCCCACGTCTCTCCTTTGGCTTTCTCTTCGACGTGCAGTGAGGTAGCCGACGTGATGCAGTCGTATGACAGAGGAGGATCTTGCAGGCCCAGCTGTTTTCAGGGAGGCAACCCAGCCCTGTGTCAGCACCGCAGCCCTCGTGGTTCCTAGCCGCTGGGCTGTAACACAGTCATGTCTCGGCTCTGTAGGTTTCCAGATGTTGTGCTGTGAAACCATGGAACTAATGCAGTCTCAGGGTTGGAAGTTTTCCCAGCTGTTCAGCTTGGCACGGCCATTCTGCAAACGTAAGAACTAAGGCAGTGAGGTCGCCAGAAATATGGTACGTTTTCCGGATGGGCTATTGTTCTCAGACCTCACGATGCCCTCTTATGGCAGGACTGTCCAGAAAGGGAAGCTGGGCTGAGTGGGGCACGTCCTGTTTGCTCCCGGGCCTGATTCGGCTGCACCAGATTCCTCCCCCCAGGAATGTGGCCCAGGTGATTCTGATCAACTCTGACAAGCCGGCATCATTCCACGCTCTGCCTCTGAACCCGGCCAGCGATGCGTGCGGGCGCGCCAGCCCCGACGGCAAAAGGAGACAGGAAATACTCTCCGGGTCCTTCGCCCTGAGGGGTTCACATCAGGGGACAGGGCAGCCGACTGAATCCAAGCAAGAGCCGGGCCAACAGGGTTCCCGCAAATTGACCTTAGGATCTCCCTAGGCAGGGAGCATGAGAGAGGGGCCATGCTGGGTAGATTCATCCGTCGGGCGGGAGAGCTGGGGTGAGGGACAGAAGTGCCCGAGGGCCTCGTGCACCCCACATTGTGCTCACATGGCACTGGGGAAGCGTATCCGCGCTCTGTACCCAGCCTCTTCCAATCACACCGGAGGAGCAGACAGAGACTGGCTGGCCGGTGTGTCCCTCACAGATTCACCCACCAGTGGGAGCTCAAATCTCCTTGTATTTCCATGGAGACAGCCAATCACCTCTTGCTGGACAGGCCCCTCATTCATCACGGCTCCAGCCATCGAGGTGGTGGGAGACACAAAACAAATTGCTGCTCATCATCACTTTCACCGTGTGGGGAGTGGGAGAGTCCCATGAGACTGGGACAAAGAAGAGGGAATGCTCCTCCCAGGGGCAGGGCATTGCTTCTGGAGAGCAGTGGGGTGCAGCTTCCCAGAGCCTAGAAAGCCTAGGGCTGTTGTTAGGGGTCGAGGTGGTTAGGAGCATGGGTGTTTTGCATTGCTATACACTACAGCATAGAAGGAAAAGGGGTTGCTGGGGATCTGTGACTATACAGCTCACGGTATTTGGCTACGCAGAATATGAGGCTATCCTAGCACTATATTTAGCTGCACAGACTATATGGAGATGTATATGTTTGTGATGTATATGTGGCTATGCACAGTATAAGGAGGAGCGGTTGTGGCTATGCAGAATGGACTGCAAGAAGGGTGTAGCTGGAGGATCGATGTGGCTTTCCAGAATATAAGACCAGGTGCTGTTGGGGGTGCGGATGACTATATAGTGTTAAAATGGGTGTAGCTGGGGATCTGTGTGGCTGTACAGATAAGACCAAGTGTACTGGGAGGTGACTATACAACGTACTGTAATAAGTGTGTAGCTGGGGGAATCTGCAGCTATACAGTTCAGATGAACAGGTAGGTGGAGGTTCAGGGGCTAGACAGAGTAGTAGAATAAGTTTAGATGGGCTTCCCTGTTCCAGCTCCCATTGACCTCAGGGGAGTTTTGCCTCCGATGTGCTAGGGATCAGCATCGGGCCGGTGGACATGGGAGGGTGATTAATGGAATTATGACTTAATAATTTTTCCTGCACTTGGCTCATGCTGGAAAGAGTTCCTGTTCTTTTATCAGAGGGTACGTTATAGACTGGTTGTGTCGCCAACGGGTTTTGTAAAATGACAAGCTGTTCTGGAGGGAGAAGCAGGGCTGTATCCATTACTAGGTGTGTCTCCTTAAGGCTACTGAGAATACAGTGGAGAGTGTCTGAACAATAAGGGATTGGCTTCCACATGCCACGGTTCAGGGATGAAGAGTTCAGCCACGTCTGGAGCCAAAGGTGAACAACATCCATCTTCACTGAGTCCAACCTGAGCTGTTTGTTGGCTGGGAGTGTTTCCTAGGACAGGGGTTAGCCGTGAGCCCTGGGAAAGGGCTGCATTCCCTTCCAGGATAGACAGGGACGGTGGAGCCTTGTTCCTGTCCTAAGTTACGTCTGACATTACAGGAAGGATTCAGATTCAGAAACTGGTTCAGGAGAAGCCCTGGGCTTCAAAGGAAAAAGAACCTCTCCCATTTCTAGAACCCACCAGGTACTCATGTTCTCATGGTATTTGGACACCAGAGCCTCTGTGACTGGCAGCAGAAATGCTGAAAACCTGCCTTTTTCTCATGAGGTTTCCAGCCCAGCTAGTTGGTTCAGATACTGGGCTAAGACTCAGTGATCATCCAAACTCCTGGGTGGTGAACTGAACTCTGAACTGATTAAGGTTCACCCATCTACTTCAGTCCTCCGGGCCTCCCCTTCCTCCTCTCCGTAATACTCTTTCTTCCCTTTTCCTTTCCCTCTCCCCCTCTGCCAAGGTGGCCTGCCCCTCAGAGTACATGTGAAGATGTGCTCTCATGCCTGGTCTCAGGACCTATCCTCGTGAAGAAGACAAGCACTCAGCCTCCCCACCAGCATTGTGGCAGTTACCATAAAAACCACACTGGGAGAGCATCTGGGAACTGGGAAAGCAGAGCCATATTAATTCCTGAACTCTGACCTGGCCAACCCCTGATGTGAGGATGTGCAGGCTACTCAAGGGTCAGGCTTTTACATGGGGCAATGAATGGCTCATGGAATAGCAGGGGAAATGGACAAACCATTAGAACAGGCCATCAAACTTGGACCATTGTTCAAAGCTGTAAGTCAGAGTTTGGGTCAGTCTTGCCAAGGCTATGGCTTTGGTCTTCCCCGCATTGCATTTTGGCCCAACAGAATTGCCTCTTCTTATTAAAGAGTTTGAAGCTAAACGCTCATCTTATTACTGACAGAGAGCCAACCCCTCCAGCTGTGACTTCCGTGGGCAGGTTGCCTTGATTTCCCAATAGGGTTTTTTCCCATAAGGGTGCCGATGGGACTTAAGAATAGGAAGCGGCAATGTCTCCTAGGGTAGGGGAGGATGGGTTATTCTCAGAACATGATCATTCATGAAGGGGAACTCTGCGAGACCAGGCTTGAAGGTTCATTACATGACTCTCATCCTCTCTGGAGAGTGCTGACCCTTTGGGGCTGTTCTACAGGGGAAAGGGCTGTCAGGGAAGAGTCATGAGGGAAGGGTTACTCCGTGGACAGTAGAATTCAGGTCTCTTCCTTAGCAAGCAGCAGCAGATCCTACATTCCTGCTGCATC